ACGGCGCCATGGGCGGTAGTGGTCTCTTTTCGCCTTCTTTCTTCACCCCTGAGAGCAAATTCAAGTGGTAGATGAGCTGTTCGTATAAATTTTCGCCGATGTGCAATACGAGCAAATCAGGCTCTTTCCACATGCCGTCCACTTTTGCGGCAACTTTCTTCAGGACGTTCTTACTCTTTGACTTCTTTAACTGTTCAGTTGCCTCCTCCATCTTATTCGTGATCACCCCGATGAACAAGCTGGTCATGATATTACCGAGAATGACCACCAGGGACATCATATAAAACACTGCGAAGATAGGTTTCGCATCGGGCGCGGTGCAGTAAGGTGCGTCTATCCCCGTATATCCGTAATCGGCGCAACCGTAGTAGTTGACGTAGAGAAACTCTAGCCAGCCGCTCATCGTCGCCAGTGAGAAAACCGTTTTGACTGCTGTTCCTAAGTTTCTAAAGTTCCTCGGATCGTTCACACCGAACACGGAAACGCCTAACACGGCGTAAATGTAAACTACGGCGGCCAAAAGCAAGAGAATCCAGACTATGTTGAGGATCCCGTTGAGCACGCCGTCCAAGATGACCCGCATGTCCTCGAACATCCTCAACAGACGTAAGAGCCGAATAAGACGCAAAGTACGCACTGCGTCCAGAGTGGAGCCGCTCCCGTTATCTGGAATCATGTACTCGAGGAATGAGAGCAAAGTGATGACAAAATCAAAATTGTTGATGACGTCGTGAAAGTATAGCCAAGGATTTGGCTTGGCCAAGTGTGTGACGCCGCGATCATCCTCGTACTCGATGCCACTACTGAGTACTCTCAGCACCACCTCCACGGCGAACGCTATATTCAAAACCAGGAAACTGATCTCTTCGAAGGCAGATCCGTCGTACTTTTCCGGTTGGTTCGCAACTATACCGCACACGACCATGGAGTAGAAAATCATCAACCCCGTGACGAGCTCGAAAAATCGAGAATGCACGAAACGGTGCAGCAGCCACGTGAACTTTCGACGCTTCGATCTCCGATGAGCTTTTTCCGCGTACATGCTCTTCTGACTCATCGCCTCCATCGTGATTCTCCGCTCATTTCTCAACAAGCTCTCCTTCATTTCCGCGAAGAGCACGTCCATGATGGCCGGCGATGGATAGAGGTTTTGCTTCTCCTCCATCTCCGCGCGAAATTTGAGCTCATCGTCGAGATCGTTCGCGGATAACTCCTGGAAGAACGACTTTTTCGCTTGGAGCATGCGACGACGCCTCGTACGCGACTCCTCGGAATCGCTGTCAGAGTCGTCGTCGTGCTCGCCGTCGCTGTCGCTCAGCGTCGGCGGTTCCTCGAAGAGCACGCCCAAGCCGCAAAACTTCGCTCCCTCGACGTAACATCGACGCCAAAACCCCACATGACGATCGGGCGAGTTCAAATCCTCCCGTCGAGGCAATCGTCCCTCCACCGCGTACTCGTCCCCAGAGTCGAGTTCGGAACCCGCCTCCGCCTCGCTCCCTCCGCCGCGCGACCGCGACCGCGACCGCGAACCCTCCATCGCCTCTACTTCACCGTCATCATCCGAATCCTCCGAATCATCGCTCGACGCCGAACTCGACGCGCTCGAGCTCGACGCGCTCGACGCGCTCGAACCCGCGTCCCGCGCCGCCGACGTCTCCTCTCCCCCATCCATCCCCTCGCTCGCCGTCGTCTCGTCATCCACCGCATCCCGCGCCCGCGTCGACGTCCTCGCGCGCCGCTCGACGACGTGGTCCATCCCGTCGTCGTCCATCGCTCGCCCGTCGTCCATGGTGTTGGTCGCATCATCGATCCCTCGACTCGGTCGCCCCGTCGCCCGCGCCGCCGCGTCCGCCCCACCCGAGGCGTCGCGCGCGTCCATGGCGGACCGCGAACGCGCGGGCGGGCGTCGACCGAGACGACGGGCGCGTCGAGGTGTGCGCGCGCGATGGGATGGATGGTGGTGGGTCATGACTCGTGGAGTGTCGAGACTCGCGTGCGGCACATGCCGGCGCGCGTCGCGCCGACGACCGCGCGCGCGCCGGGACGTCCGCGACGATGGCGACGATGGCGACGATGGCGCGCGATCGCGCGCGCGGGGGCGACGCGTGGGGGGGGTGGAGACGATGGATGGATGATGTCCTGGGTGGGTGATGGGTTTCATGAAGAATTTGGCGCGGGACGATACGAGACGACGCTGAGCGAGCGAACGGCGACGTGGGGGCGGGAGAGGGTGGGTGATGACGCCGTGATCGCGTTGACGTCGTCGGAGACGGGGAGATTGATCGATTGTGATGGGTCGGAGATTGAACGCGTCGCGCGTCGGTTGACGGAGGGCGGCGCCGGGACGGCGACGGCGAGAGCGTACGCGGGACATCAGTTCGGAACGTTCGCGGGTGCGCTCGGGGACGGTAGGGTGGTTAGCTTGGGGTGGGTGAAATCTTTGGACGGCACGACGAGGGAGGTGCAGGTGAAGGGAGGGGGGAAGACGACGCGCACGCGGGACGGCGGCGACGGGCGATGCACGCTGCGTTCGACGATTCGGGAGTTTTTGTGCGCCGAGATCTTAGCCGCGCTCGACGTGCCGACCACGCGATTGATGTGCGTGATATCTACGAACGAAGGCGTGGTCCGACGTACGAAGGCGAATTCGGCGCGTTTGGAGTACGGCGGGATGTCCGTTCGCGTCTGCGAAGCGCCGTTGGTTCGTTTCGGCACGTTTGAGTTACCGGCGAGCCGGCGCGACTTTGATTGCGTTCGCGCGTTGGCCGATCACGTCATCGCGTCTGATTTATTTGTGGGTGAGATCGATGATGTCGATCGTCACGGCGCGCTCCTGTGCGCCGCGGCGAGACGGAACGCGATCACCGTCGCTCGATGGATGTCAATCGGTTTCGTGCACGGGGTAATGAACACGGATAACACGACCGTGTGCGGGACGACGATCGATCTCGGGCGTTTCGGATTCATGGAGGCGTACGACGAAGAATTCTGCTCGAATCCTGACGACGAGACGAAGATGTACGCGTTCGGTCGTCAACGAAGCGTCGCGAGATGGAACGTCGAGCGACTCTGCGACGCATTTGAGCGCGTCGTCCCGGCGAGCGCTCACCGGAGCGCGCTCTGCGCGTTCGACGACGCGTTCGAGAACGAAACGAAACGGCTGAACGAGCGCAAGTTTGGCGTGCGCGATGACGACGGAGTCGTCTCGAGCGCGTTTCATCGAGTCTTGCGCGTCGGCGGTTTCGATTTCACTCGAGCGCACCGCGCGCTCGGGGAGATCGCATCGACGCTCGTCGAGTCGTCGTCGTCGTCGTCCGAACGCGTCGTTCGCAACGTATTCGCTCGTCTCTTTGACGTCGACGCCGAACAGCTCGATCGATCGGTGGATGATTTCGCTCGAGCGTACGCGTCGGCGCTCTCGTCGGACGCGCGCGACGCGCGTCGACGCCGATTGACGCAAGACGCCACCAATCCCGTCTTCATCCTCCGCGAACGGGACGTCACTGAGGCGATCGACGCAGCGCTCGAGGACGATTGGACGCTCGCGCGAACGCTCGCCCATCGCTGCGCGACGCCGTTCCGCGACGAAATTCTCTCATAAAACGTCCCGCGCGCGCGTCCGCGTACAAAAGTCTACAAAAGAAAGCGACATCGCATTACACCCATCCGTCCCCCCCTCGCGCTCACTGCCCGAACCCTCGATCGTGCTCACCGAAATTCAACCCACCGTTCGCCCCGACGTCTCGCGTCGCCGCCAAGTACGCCCGCACGCGCGCTTTACATCCCTCCAAGTGATTCACCCCTTGCTCTCGATAACACCGCACCACTTCCTCGCGCAGCAGTTTCGCCCGCTCGACGCCGATCATGCGTTCGCGCGCCGCGAGCTCTCGCGCGTCGATCACCGCCTTCGCGTCGGCGCTCCGTCTCGGCGCCTGGGCGTCGAATCCCTCGATCGCGTCCACGTCTCGCGGTCCCTCGGGGAGGGTCGTTCGGGCGCCCGCGCGCGCGCGCGCGTCCACCATGCTCGTCCGCGCGCGCGCGGGCCGTTCGCGCGCGCGTCGCCGTGCGCCGGTCGACGACGGGGCGATCGCGGCGATCGCGCGGCGCGCGCGCACGGACCCGGGGGGCGCTCGTACATACATACCACGATACACGCCCATCACGGGCATCACGGCGTCGGTGTACATACATACCACGATACACGCCCATCACGGGCAGCATCACGGACGGGTTGCGGGGTTAGGGTTTAGAACGGAACGACACAAATCACAATCCACCGCGCGCGCGGGCGACACCGCGGCGTCGGTGATGCCCGCGCGCGCGCGCGCGAGCGACGACGCCCGCGCGCGCGTCGACCGGGCGCCCATGGCGGGCGACGACGCGGAGAGTAACCTGGACGACACGGATGAGGAGGACGGGCGAGACGCGCGGATGACGCGCGCGGACGCGACGCGGGGTGACGACGGCGCGTCCGCGGCTTCCGCGGCGTCGGCGCGCGCGAGGGTGTTTGTGCCGGAACCGGC